GGAGTGGCGTTGTCCTGGTCTTTTGTATGCCAAACAACATGCAGCATTCATGGAACACAGCTGATTCAAAGATACGGCCTTGATCCGAATGCAGTTCGTATGGCATACCAAATCTGAAGAAGAAATCACTAATAGCCAAAACTACAGTTGTAGCTTCCTGATTTGGTATTGCATATGCCTCAAGCCACTTGGTGAAATAATTCTTGGCGGTCTTATATACAAGAACACACACATCTAGTAAACACTCGAGCATTCGAGAACCTTCGAGAATATCATGACGTGTTACTAGCGTCACGTGTCGTAACAGTATAATTAACTGAATGACAAATCATTTGCATAACAAGAAACGAAAGAAGTGAATGATGTTATTTTATAAGAGTAGTTTTGTCTTTTTATGGCTATAATATTATTAACTTTAATCATCTGTTAATTTCTTCCTGCTGTAGTGCAGTGTAGAAAAGTTTTAGTTGAGTTGCTTACACTTTTATGCTGTCTTTACAGTAATAAAAACAACAATCAGTATAGTTAATTATATTCCACTTGTTGCAAGCTATGACTACTTTTACTCTTATACAAAAATGGAAAATTAAGAAAAATTATTTGGGTTCTGCTAATAAATTAACAAGTTCTTTACACTTTGTAAAGATTGTGGAAAAATTTGTATAAATACACTTCTTCAGTTTATTTGACAAGTTTGCAAGTTTTCTGGTTGGAGCAGTCTTTTTTCCCACGTTTATTTCAATATCTCAGTAAAATAACTTCAAGGAAATATATAAATCACAAAATGAGTGCAGACCGAGGGCAATACTTTTGCTGCTAGGAAATTTATGTTTTTGGTTTTTTGATTATTTAACCTTACGGTTTCCTGTTATATAAATATCGTTGATAGAAAGAACAGCTAGACCTTCTTAACTGTAGTTTCCATCTGGGAAAGTACTACCATAAAAAATTGATACTCGAATTTCCAAGAACTTTCTCAAGCTCTAGGCTTAATTCTAGAACTCAAAGTTTATGCTGTATTTGTATAGTAAATCCTTTTTATTACTATTTGTTAGTTAATTATATATATATACATACATACATATAAGAATTAGAACTCTAGTCACCTCACATTTTCTGTGTAGGGCATGATAATGTCCTGATACCAGTTGTCCAGTAGTTGGAGCTGTTCATCTCTGTAATTCTCTAGACGGTCAATATTAAACTGAAATAAAATAACAAGATAAACAGTTACATTAAAATCTGAAAATTAATTAGTTTCATATCTTTTGTTAACATATAATTTCTAACTTCTTTTTCAAATATGCCTTTTATTATAGAATTAATTGTGAATGATTGATTTGAATAAGGACTAACTGTAGTAAATTAGTGCTTTCACATAAGTATCTAAACTCTGTTTTGCCCAATCAGTCAGCGATATAAATTTTAAAGACAGGCTAAGTATTTACACATTATCAACTTCTTCAATCAAATTTGAAATGAAAGAGACAGGTAAAAGCAGGACACAGGAGAAAGAACAAGAAATAAATTGGTATGAATTTAATCTAAAGCAATTATTACAAATTTAAAGATCAACAAATTCAGGTTTATTTTCTTTTCTTTAATGCTTTACTCTCTTACGTGACATATTATTTTTTTTTCTTTTGAGATTCCAAAGTTTAACTTCAAAAATGAAGGGATAAAGTAGTAATTGTATAATTATTCCAAGAGTTCCCAACATACATGTCACGTTCATTATCACATCATTTGTTAATTTTCTTTGAATCATGGATGGTTATTTCATAATGCCCATGTATTGTAAAAGCAGATATCTCATTAGTTAACCGAGATTAAGCTTAGAAACTTTCCACATATACATTTGATTGTATAGATACTCAATTAAAACTACCATTTTAATAAAAAAATTATGTTAAAAACTACTGTTTTAATAAATAATTATTTAATTATTATTTATAATTTTACGTAAAGAAAAATAAAAACGTTTGTTTTAATAAAATTGAATATATAATTAGGTCATTTCATTCTTATTTAATCCTTTATATGAATTGATCCCTGAAACACCTTCCTAACAGAGTACTCTAACCCAGGCTACATGTGATATTGTTTTAGTATATATTTTATGACTTTAGATTTCGAAATATATGGATTCCAGTTGTCCGAGATAACCAAAATTATTGCTAGACAACTAAAATATACAACTGTGTTGTCTGTAGGACAACTACAACATGGCCATATCATAAGGTAGTCTAAGCATCTAGCCAATACTGCTACATTCCTAATAGTATTGTTGCGTCAGCGAGGTCACGTGACTAGTGTCACGCCACTCGTTCTCT